CAATGGCTTTACGGCACATGTTGTAACTAAATCTTCTGTGTTCTCATATGGACTTCTTTATTCCTTTCTTTGATAATAATTATTTGTATTCGACAGGAGCCTCTCGTACTATAACAGTTTGTATTTGCAAAACATTCTCAATTTGCAAAATAAATTAAACCTTTGTAACAAGACCTATCTTTCTGTTTAAAAACCCACAATGTTCTAAACCGTTCTAGACGATACCAATATACTTATATGTACAAAAATTCAAAGGAGGGTAAACGTAACTAAACATGACCATTATTTATTCCATAATCTATGTCAACCGTCACCAATGATATAGCAATTCGTTTTAAATTTTGATATGATTAGTAGGTAGTTAACAATTCGTCAAATTATGAACCTATAACCTACCTACCTAAAATTATAACCTGAACTAATATCTTATGAGTGAAACAGTTATAACATTTAACATTTTTCAACTGTTCTAAGAATATCTTTACAAATTTTTCGTTCAATGAATCATTAGATAAATAACTTTGGGTGTTAAAATACCGATTCCAAAAATAGGAAAATTATGCTCAATTTATTTAATGATTGTTTTTTTTTTCGGGTTCGATCCCCTCAGGGGACAACACTTAGTGTGATCCACAAATTATCGTTCTGAGTCTGGGTGTCCTTTGTGTCATTTCATGTATTTTTGTAAAGTCCACCGCGACACAGGATATATTCCTAGTTCTTTTTAAAAGAAAAAAAAACAAATGGGTAGTTTTCTTTATTACTAGTCTTGACCCGTGCTATATGTACCGTCGTTTCGCACGCCTAAGAGAATTTTTATCTGGTTCCCCGGCAACGGGTACCCGAGACGGCGTGTGGTTTTTTGTTGGTTCGAGTTCGACATAAGCATCCGACCGATGGGTGGTATCCGAGGAGATTGCCTCACAGATAAAAAAAGGGCAATAGATTCTGGATGTAATTAAAATATTATTGTCTTTTGCTTCCCTGGAAACGTGTTTAAAAAATTAAAATATATTGATAGGATGAACAGTAAGTACGCCATTGTATAAATTAGAAACAAATAAATATTGACTTTTATACACCTTTTTTTCCGTGCGGAAATCCCCTCGGATACCACCGGTGGCATCTCGGTGGCATGTCGGACTCGAACCGACTAAAACCGCACGCCGTCTCGGGTACTAATAGCCGGGGAACCAGGTATACCCTAGAAAGGAAGTCCCTGGTGCACCGACATACCTCGGGCCATCTACAGACGAGTAGACGACCCCCTCGTGTGGGAACCCCATGTTCAATCTGCTCCCTGGAAGCGAGCGCGCTTCGCAACGCGCTCGCCGCCACCCCGGCCTGCCTTTGCTAGGGTGACAGATGGCCTCACCTGTCACCCCCAGGCCTGCGCTTATGGAGGACGGAGGTCATTCTGCGACCTCCGGTGCCCGAGTCGCCTGCGGTACCTGACCCGTTCCGTGGCCAGGCTATCGAGCGAGAGAAATCCCACTCCGATGGCCGCCACGAGTTCTCGCCTCTGCTCAACCCACGCCGGGCACTCCGCCAGCGTGTGGAGAGCCGTGTCCACGGTCTGACCATCGCAGTGGTGGCACTCAGGCGTTGGCTCCTTGCGGATCAGACACAGGTGATCCCCGAAACATCCTTTCCCAGTGATCACCTGCGTCAGTCGGTATGAGAGGTCCCGTGACGCCTCTCGAGCCAATCCTCCATAACGGATCTTACCGCCGCGATGACGGCGTGCCCGAGACTTTTATACACCTAAACGGATTGATTTGGATGAATTTTTGTGTATATTTCAATGGGCTATCTAGTTTTATTATAAATTATAAGAAGGTTCGCTCGAAAATGACTAAGGTCTCTATGAAAATTGAATGTTAAATCTTTTGTCAGACTGGAAGTACAGAGAGCCAAAAGAAGCAGAAGATCTACAGTAATAGAAAATATGACCTAACTTTAGGTATTTTATACCGTTAAGTAACGTTTTAGTTTAACCTTACATTTTACAGAAAATGTGTTCTTTTATTTACCTACATACTTTAACTGATTTCAAGAGCACCTATTTTTTTATTTGTTTATTTTATGTAAAACCTAATGCACATGTTGTCCAAAGGCAGACCTAATGCCATGGGGCATTTTCTCCCAGACAACCTTCAGGTGATATATATATGATGCGGTGCGAAAATCAAATATTAAATATTATATTGTTTATAAAAAAATACTCTGTACATAAAAGATAACATTAGATAACATTTTTACATGTGTTATTCGTAAAAACATAACCTTATTCACAGTTTGCTTATTGTAAATTTTACACATTACCTTTAATGTTGGGTACACCTATACTCACTAGATATTTTGCTTACTAGGTTGTGTTATAGCACCACCAATTGATTTATTTATTAAATATAATTTTAATTATTTTGATTCTCAGATTAAGACAGCAAATCTATTTTTACAGCAGATAGAATGACTAAAATGGTGAGAGACATGGTGGTAGTTTATGAATAGTGCTGGATAAACCACTCGACAAGAGACATGTTCTCATATACACTACGGTTTTAGTAGCTTCATTTCCTATTTTTTTCTATGGACAAGGTAGGTAGGTAAGGTATGGAGTACCTACCTAGATTCTTGCCCTTGTGTTTGACTGCCTGAATGAATATTTATATTTGACTGCCTCGTTGATGCACTAGTAGCGTATGCGACTGCTGTGCCAAGGTCTCTGGATCGATTCCCAGGTCGAACCAAATTCTTCGGAGTTTCATGTTTTGTACGTATAATATGTATGTATTTACATAAAAATATGTAAGCATTATTTTTTTCTTTTAAAGAAAACTTCCGCATTAGGAATATATATCCTACATAAACATACATAAAACGTACACAAAGAACACCCAGACTAACAACAATTTGTGGATCACACAAAGTGGTGTCCCATTTGGGGATCGCACCTACAACACTTAGCTTAGTAGAAACCGGCGTGGCGACCGCTTAAACCACTAAGCCATCCGTACATTCAGATTCTATCAGTCAATCTGAATTTCATAGTACAAGTCTAAGTCCTATCTTTGGTTTCTTTCTTGGTTTAGAGGAAGCTTGTCTTACTATTTTCACTTTGGTTTGCCTTGATGCCATTTGTGAAATATTTCGTTAGGAACAGTATAAATAGCACAAATAACAGAAAGCCGCTTATGAGCTGAAATCTTTCAATTTAGTAAGATAACTTTCATGAGAACACAATCAGAGAAAGTGCGTTAAGTTATTAAATGATCATAAGACGTAGATTAAAAAGAAAACAATACATAACAGAGTATTTATGTAATTTTTCGCTATAACTATTTAGCCTTCCAGAACAAACATCAGTTGCCATACAAAAATCTTTCATTGCTCATTTAAAATATTTGTATCTAACATATACCTACATGCAGTGACAAAATATAAAAATAACTATCGTAAATTATGATAACTCGTTATGCACATAGAATATTAGTTTATTTTATTCCTTAAAAGTCTACAATGAACAATGTTCATTTGTGCATAACTTATGCTTAAGACATCGTTCAAGAAGACTAAAACTTAATCTATGCACTTCGAATTGAATTAGCTTACATCCTTAATCATATGCGGACTTGTAGGTATGTTTATAATATATATTACATGAAAACATTTCTATCACCTATTTTGGAAATTGAAATATGTTTTCTTCAATGCAAAATGATTGTTTTTGCCAAAAAAAAATTGGATACAATCACAATACAAACCTTAGAAGCAAGCTGAGAAATATAATAGAACAAAAGCAGAACCACAAATTCACACTAAACATATTAGTTAAATACATACATTGTGGAATTCTATTCGTCATTTAGTGGTTAGCGCGTAATGTTCTGAATTTTAAAGATAAAAAAGTGAGAAAAACATAAGTTTCTTCTCTAATTCTTTAGTTAGTAGCAAAAAATATTTCCAAATTATTCGTTCTTTCACAACGTTTAGCAAAGATCACAGTGAAGGAACTTCAACAATTGCTAATTGAATATATATGGATAAACTAATTATGTAAATGGTATAATCAAAATCACTTTGAACCAATATTGAAATAAAATTTATTGGTTTTACACTTAAAATTAAACACACTTATCAGACATAAGAAAATTCAATGTGAAGTTTATCTTAATAATAATTACCCAAAGTACTTAAGTATTAAAGTACATATTAAAATACTAAAGTATTAAAGGTAGTAAGATGAATATTTCTTGGCTAATACTTGGTATTTAAGTATTTGGCAAAATTAATGAAAACCGACGGGTTTAAAGTTGAGTCTGAATTTAAATAACTTTACTCATACAACATATCAGATCAATAAAGTAAAATTGTTGCTAATGAAAGTTTGTAAACCCTAAGACAGTCAACTATGATAAGTTGGTCAGACTTGTGTTTTTAAATGGATTAACGAAAGAACTACAGAAGTATGTGTTAATTTTATTTTTGCTCCTTTAATCCATCTTATAAAAATGCGACACATTTGTATTTCGGTAATAATTACGCAATAGATAGAATCAAATGTATTTCATTAATTTTAGTGGTGTGGTGTGATTTAAATCAAATATAGTATAAAATTAAGACCCTCTTAAATTTCCACACATATTGCAATACGCACATTAATTATAAACAAACAAATAAAAATGAAACAGTATTTTTTTATAAAATACAATTTAAGATGAAACAACATTTAATAAGTACTCAGTGTACATCAATATTAATTATAGGACCCATATTTGCATATTGAAGAATACAGGCATTGAAACAAAAACCAAGGTTTTCTGTGTTCCACTTTATCAATTGCAACCATCAAAAACTTCAATGTACTTATAGATACTAAAAATTAACAACCCATGGCTCTTCTTGCTTACACTTACTAAAGATTGCAATGGACTATTTACATTTTTTACTGTGTCTATGTTCATTAGCCAAGACAAATTAATCTCACAACCAGTTGCTTAATTGCTAGACATGACTCCGTTAATCTTGAGTTTCTTGACGCGTCGTGTAGTTCCCTCACCATCTGAACTGTCTGAATCGTGTGAATCTCCCTCAGATTTAATGCCGAGTCCTAGTTCATGGGCATCCACATAATTACCTGTAGTTCGGGCTTTCTCCAACGCTCGTACTGAAAAATATATATTAAAACCATTTAAGGAATAATATAAAATCTCATTCATTCATAATCATTTTATCGATATACATCAATAAGAATAATTGAATATTTATAAATGATAGTAAAGTAAGAAAAATTAGTACTTATACCAAAAAAATAATTTGCAGTCTCAAGATGTGAGGGTAGTTTATAAAACAAAAAAGTGTTAGAACATGTAGCTTATTCAATATATATAAAAGAGAGTCTTACTTCAGGTAAGTATAGATAATTGTTTGAAGGTACAATTTTTTTGCAGGTGCATTTTTTAAAATTTAATCCATACTTATAAATGTAGAAGTGAGTTTGTTTGTTATGCTATCACACCTAAACCACTGATTTGATTTAAAAAATTCTTTCACCAATGGACAGCTACAATATGAGTGAGTTACAGAGGCTACTTTTTATCGCGATAACCGACAAACACGCGAGCGGAGCCGCGGTCAAAAGCTAGTACAGAATAAAATAAATGGTTGCAAATTTACGATTGATTTAGGATTTATGTTAAGAAAGCCCGACCAGTTTGTTTTCTATACAGAAGTCAGTTTCGAGGAAGTGTGGGATATTTATTAATTATATGACAATGGTTGAAAACTTGCTACAGTGAATTGAACTACTATGGACTGGGGACCGAACTAGTAAGCTGTAGCTTAACATTTATATAGCATTACAAGTGCATCGAAGGAGTAAAATCAAATGGCACTTACTTTGTGACTCAAGTAACATATTTTGTCTTCTCAGATCTTCAATATCCTGTTGATGAGAGTTATTTTTTCTTCTCATAAATTGTATATATTCAGCTGCTTTCTTAAGTATTTGGGCTCGACTCGCCTGCAATTTCGTAGAACTCTAAAGAGTACAATGTTATCAATAAAAATGGTGATAAATACATGAAATTTGATGAGATGATATACACTGTAAGTCCCCATTTACATGGCAGCCAGTAAGTTGTATGGATTTTGATCTAAAAGCAACTAATATTTCAATAACTACTTTTAAAAACCAGAGTTTTCCCTGTTGCATGAAAATGAGAACTTACAAAAGTAAAGCAAAATTTAACATTAATATACTATAACAGTATTCTTTTCATATATATATAGCTATATTGTAAATTACACATGTTTTAACAATATACTGTGGACTCGACAAGGAAAAACTTAAGCCCTGTAATCCAAAACAATATTTATAGGAGACCCTGGAAGTCATAAAATATCTAATTATGAATAATATGCTGATAATGTAGTGCCTTTGCATATAAAAATACAATCCAAACTGGAAAATTACAATTACAAATTACAAAGTATTTTAAATCTATGACTTCCACAGCAACTAACAAGTATGGTTACTGCTCTTCACTTGTTACTAAATGAATATGATGGAACACATGTGGTATTATTAAGTACTCTTAAATTAAAGATAAGATTTTCTTACTTCTGTATGTGCGGTCTTTTAATACTATTAAAAGACCACACGCACAGAAGTTCGAAAGTCTTTACAAAACATGCAAAACAAAAGTCATGTGATGTGACAGTGATGTGACCATTTCTTGTATTTTTTTTTAATTTTATTTATTGCACAATACTCAATATTGTAAAACAAAGATTAAAACAATACTTTAACAATCTATGTTTTAACAGAAATCCTTGACTACATTTAGTGATAACAGATATAATATAAATGCATGTGTTAATTATTTAAGATCAGAACACAAGTTGTCATGGTATTTTAACCACGATTCCATAATGTTGAATGTGACTTTTAAATACCATGCAAGATATATAAAGGTAAACCTACCACTTTCTCATTTTGTAGTGCAGGTACTGCTTCTCGTAGTGAGGTAAAACTGTCCTTTATGTGATCCCTTCTTTTCCTTTCTAGTGCATTGTGGTGTGCCCTTTTCTCTGCCTACAAATTAAAGAAAACTTTATAAAGCTATGTTAATAAAGGAGGGTAAAAAAATTTAAAGTTTCTAGGTTCTGTGCAAGATGTTTAAAATTCTTTTCTGCAATATTATCATTACCTGAGAGTAATAGCCGCTTCCACTGACACTATTTCTAGCATGTGTACGAGAATCCGAGTCATTTTCAGCCTGGAAAATCACAAACGGAAAAAAAATATTATGACTGAAAATAAACATGCAGCACAAAACCAGTGAACTGTCAAAATCGGGAAAACACCTACATCACTTTCGATATCAATATCACGATCGTCGTCACTCATCATTGTGGAAAAGTTTTTCTACAGCACAGCCTCGTATATTAGTAAACAATCATGAGTGAAATTCACACTCCATAAAAATGGCAAAACAACATGTACACTCCACGACAAGTACAAGAAGAAAAGAAAGAAATTCTCAACTCCTGTCTGACAGAACTAACAAATACCATTGACAAAACACCTATTGTCTATGCCATTTTCCAGACTTAGAATAAAATTGGTGTTGAAACCATAGACTAAGAATGAATACCAAGTCTATGGTTTACTTTCCGAGTCTGGAACCAAGCAACCAAAAAGTAAAAGAGTATATATAATAATTCAATTGATAAACTTTAAAACAATGCAATTTAATCTTAACAATTGATTACCTATTTAAAGAAATTCAGCCGTTGTAGAATGTCTGTCAGATAATAATAATATATGGCTTTAATGTTTATCAGGTATAAATATACAATAATTAACTTATTTAGGTTAGACAAGTACAAATTCCGGCCTTATCGCTCAGAGGCAATCTCTTATAGGCAATCGTGGTATGGAGAGAAAATGCAGACGTGAAAAATCAAAATTATAAAAGGAAAAAATAGATTTGCTCATAGCGAACCTTTAAAGGACCGAAGCATTTAAACGACAAAGAAACATACATTATTTATTTACTTAGAAGTTTTTTATGTCAAACCTTTAATTTTTAATGAAAAAAATAATCGTTTTATAAATATTCATTAGTAGAGACAGTAATATTAATAGGAAACAGCGTTCTTTCTTCACTTTAATGAAAATGCTTTTAAGGATTAAATACAATATTTGACTACTTGATAGTGCGTCATTTGCTAATCTACTTTCAAGCAAATTCTGAGCAATTAATAAATTTCCTATGGGCTGAAGGTTAATCCTAGTACAGTAAAAAAGCCGTGTGTTTTGGGACATCTTCCTTATGCTAAATTTTGACAAATAATCCATTTATTTCAAGGTATTTATAAAAAAAAATGCGTTTTTAGGGTTCCGTACCTCAAAAGGTATAAAACCCTTATAAGATCACTTTCTTGTCCGTCTGTTCGTGTGTCACTACCGATTTTCTCGGGAACGGGTAGACCTAGCAAGTTGGAATTTATACGAGATACTGAGGTCTATGGTCCCTAATAGGTATATAAAAATCAAGGTTTTGAGTCAACACGATAGAAACATATGGGCAAATTTCGATTTTCGCGAAAACTTGTAAGTACCAAAATTTACCTTAATTTTCAACTTTTTTATTTTTAAGAATTTTCTCTTCACTTGTGCTGTAAAACCTTGCTTTTAACCAAAATTGGCAATTCTAGGTCAACCGGAAGTACCCTATAGGTTTTGGGTCGAAAACCTGTATGGTAGTTCCCGTTGACCTAGAATCACGAAATTTGGCAAAAAGAAACGCCTTACAGCACAAATAAAGGAATAATTCATAAAAATTAAAAAAAATGAAAATTATGATAAATTTTGGTACTTAAAAGTTTTCGCGAAAATCGAAATTTGCTCACTTATCATATTCAACCTAACGAAATCACAATCACATGTGAAATCATTCTGACTAAAACTAATCATTTCATCAAATTAATATAATTTAAAAGTAGGTAGCAATCATTTACATGTCTATGGTGAAGTATTGGTCATTGGCGGGAAAACTTTTATGAGTTTTAATATTAATTTCACTATTAATTGATACACTGCATAAAACAAAAAAAGCATGACTGAAGAGCAGAAAACGAATGTAGACAAAATAAACAGCATTCAAAACATTGATGTTAACAATCCTGACTTTTACGAAAATGTTCAATGTGAAATTGAATCGGATTTAGCTCGTCTGAAAAAAAATGTTGAAGTTGTATTGAACTTGCGTTGTAAGTAGTATTAATATTAAAATTTACTTCTAAATTTTGTTTTAAATTACATATAGGTAAGTGTATAGGTATACCTTCGGCACGATGGGCCGACGACTTAAAGAAAGCAGCTGAAAATGGATGGATGCAGATCGCCCAAGACTAGGATAGTTGGCGCTTTTGGGGGAGGTCTTCGTTCAGCAGTGAACGGTGATAGGATGATGAAGATGATGATAATGTATATAGTAACAAAACATTAACGAAGTCTCTACTAAGTTAGAAGTTGGTACCTACAATAGATTGCAGTACTTACAATATTAGATTCTTAGATTAGTTACTTTATCTAAAAATAAACGGTCAACTACGTGTCAGGACATACGCAATTTAAGGTTCTGTATTTTATCACTATTTAATTTTAAGTTTAACTGCCTATCTAAATTTTTTTTTTTTCTACGGAATTATTACTTTGTACGAAATTGACTACCTAAGTTACGCAACTAAGTACGAAAATAAGAAAATTACACAAACATTTTTTTAAAGTATTTTTTTATATATTTACATGTATATTTAATATTGAATTTATATGTAGTAGCCGCAGCAGAGGTGGAAGTAGAGACTGCTGCTTTGTACCACGCTGAACTGTTTTACGATCTCCTAGATATCCAGAACGAATCTGAGGAAGAATCTGAAGAAGAAGACAAAACTGAGAATGGCAAAGACAACAATACAGACGACGAACCTTTTTAAGTAAATTTTTATTTAATAGGTCAATGGATGGATGTTTGTTCAGAAAATATAATATATACTCAATAAAAAAATAGTCTTATTAACACGGTTATTAGCTTGGTATGTATGTATGTAATAGAATCTTCGAACTAGATTTTAACCCACTTCAAAACGTCAAATTAAATATTGTGTCGCTTAACTTCAAAACTCGAATAAATCCATTCTTCCTTCTTAGGAGATATCTAAGAAAAAGCGATAATAATCTTAATTCGATGATTTGAAAGGCAGTATTTTATTATTATGACAACAGTGTTGAATAAAACGATTCTGTTCAGCAAATTAATTTTAAAAGCCATCCATGGTTTAGAAAAATTAATGTTAATATTGGATTTACCTGCATTTGATATGATTAAATGCGATTTATCTATCTTTGAAAAAATTCAGTGTAGATTTATAGGACTTTGATTTAACAGATCATGATCTAGCTGGATTTGAAAAAATACGAATATAACTAGGAATGTGGTAGCGGCAAAATTTCGGCATACTATCGACATTTAACATAATTCTATTTTAAATTATTTATTTAGTCTAGGTATATATCATGCAAAAAATATCCAGACGGCCAAGTCCACAAGGCACTTATATTTTGTTCCTATATAATATGTTCGGACAGTTTATGTATTAAAAAAAAATGAATTTATAGATGCTTTTTACATCCAAATTATTCTGTAACAATAGAACAACAAAGTATAGATAATTATCGATACATCGATAATGGTTAGAACAACATTAGTGCCAACTCAGGACTTCCACACGACGCATGATAGGTATTTCAAATTTATGGAATTAATTATTAACTATTGTCGCAGAGTTTACATCAATTAACGGCTATCTTGAACGAAAGTAATTCGCTGATTGGCTCGGATGGACTTAACTATATTTGGAAAAAAATGTCTCTTGGATCTATCTGATTTTGTTAAAATATTTTGACTTTAAAGGTTTTTTTCTCAAAAACCTTGTGGCTTTATACACAACTGAGGAAATTGTTTCAAAGCTTGTTTTTTTCCCTTCCTTTTGATACCAAAATCTTGAAAATTCTTAGAATTGGATTTATCCGAGTTTGAAGTTAAGCGACTCAATTGCAACTGCACACTTATCAAGGACCGGTGAAAATACAATAATTTAAATAGTCTCGTTATCCTGATCAGGACCTTTAGGATTAACGGCTTTTTCAATACCTAAAAAATACGGTAGTGTCTTTTGCCACGCACTAAGGCGTGTGCTGTAGCATATGTGATAAACTTATTAGTTACTTTTTAGTCTTAATAAGATAATAATCATAATTCATGACTAAAAAAGGAGAAAAAGGTTTATTTAAAAAAACTGAAAAATCACGCTTTTGTAGCTAGCCTAGTAGAACAGCCTGGTCATCAGAAGCGAAATCAACGGAACACTATGTAAACTGACGATTGATACGGGAGTTTCTCGCACAGTTGTCGGTTCGCAACTTGCAAATAGGTTTCTGAGGGCCATCACATGTAACCGTGAGTGAGTAGACCTCGTAACAGCGACTGGTCAGCGCATACTCGTCCAAGGCGAACAGAAGGTGGAGTTCAAGTTGGGCAACCAAGTTTATCTGGCTGAGATAGTTGATGTCTGTATCCTTGGCCTAGACCTCATGAGGAAGAATGGTTGTGAGCTCGACATTAAGCAAGGTATAATGAGAGGTAGTCAAGTAGAACTGTTCATGGAGGGGGCATTATCAGGAAAAGTCTATGGTTTAAAGAAAGTTGTTCTTCCCCACAGATCAGAAACAATCGTGCCAGTTAGTCTTCCTCATAACTCTGGACAATTGCATCGGTGTGTACTTATTGAAAGGTGAGATAATAACCTTTCATGGAACAAGAAAGACTTCGAAGAAAGTTTGTTAGTGTGGCTACATAATCTAGTTCGAAGTAAAGGGAGATCTCCAAAGCTAGAAGCCAAATGGGATGGACCATACCGAGTGGTGACGAAAATCAATGATGTCACCTACTGCATAGAGAAGTGTCCTAGAGGTCCCCCAAAGATAGTTCATCTGAATTGATTGGCGCCATATTATGGGACCGATTATGCTCGAGACGAGCGTGTCTTAGGAGGAGGCAGTGTTGCGCCATAGGTTTAAATGGTTCGATTGTTCCAGAATTGTTTGGAATGTGGAGGACAACGCCATCTAGTATCAAATAAAGTAAAACTATTGAGATTGTGCTGAATAATTCTGATACTTACAGCGCTAGATGGCGCTGCAAGTAACGCTTAAAATAGTTAACCGGTACTGGAATATTCTTATTCTGTATTAATAATGATGTATTCTTATTAGTCTGTAACGGACTATCGAATACTAGGGATCATTCTAGTAAATTCAATAGATCTCGATTGTTATAGTGAGTGTTAGTAAATACAGTGCAATAAAAGTAATTAACAGACAACTTTTATTTATTATATGCCCCGCTCGTAACAATAATAAAATATAGTCACAATAAGAATGACTATGTAGGCACTTGAAAGATTCTTAATATAACTTACTTAAGTACTAAAGATAAATGAAAAAATATATGGAATTTAAAAAAAAAAACGATAATGACATACTTAAGACTGAAAATTTTGCTAATACAACAGTGATAATCACGTTCAATTTCAATTCCGTTACAGTTTGAATTAACGTAGTGGCAGTTATTTTGATAATATTAGTGTAAAAATAGTTAGTACAATGTTTTGTTAATTTGGAATTTCAAATTAACAAAACATTGGACTATCGTATGCACCTAATTAAGAGTACCTACTGTGTGATGAAAACTAAATAACAGTAGGTATTTTATCCTCAAATAGGCTGCCAGATATTCATAACAAGTCAATACACATGGCGTCTATATTAAACCGCGTTGGTCCCGTACAAAAAGATACATAATTTAGCTGAATATTTTGAATGGGAAATCCCTAGTCATGACTGCCTTTAAGTAAAAAAAGTTAAAATATAAGAAAGTTTATATAAACTGAGGAAATTGTTTCAAAGCTTGTTTTTTTTCCCTTCCTTTTGATACCAAAATCTTGAAAATTCTTAGAATTGGATTTATCCGAGTTTGAAGTTAAGCGACTCAATTGCAACTGCACACTTATCAAGGACCGGTGAAAATACAATAATTTAAATAGTCTCGTTATCCTGATCAGGACCTTTAGGATTAACGGCTTTTTCAATACCTAAAAAATACGGTAGTGTCTTTTGCCACGCACTAAGGCGTGTGCTGTAGCATATGTGATAAACTTATTAGTTACTTTTTAGTCTTAATAAGATAATAATCATAATTCATGACTAAAAAAGGAGAAAAAGGTTTATTTAAAAAAACTGAAAAATCACGCTTTTGTAGCTAGCCTAGTAGAACAGCCTGGTCATCAGAAGCGAAATCAACGGAACACTATGTAAACTGACGATTGATACGGGAGTTTCTCGCACAGTTGTCGGTTCGCAACTTGCAAATAGGTTTCTGAGGGCCATCACATGTAACCGTGAGTGAGTAGACCTCGTAACAGCGACTGGTCAGCGCATACTCGTCCAAGGCGAACAGAAGGTGGAGTTCAAGTTGGGCAACCAAGTTTATCTGGCTGAGATAGTTGATGTCTGTATCCTTGGCCTAGACCTCATGAGGAAGAATGGTTGTGAGCTCGACATTAAGCAAGGTATAATGAGAGGTAGTCAAGTAGAACTGTTCATGGAGGGGGCATTATCAGGAAAAGTCTATGGTTTAAAGAAAGTTGTTCTTCCCCACAGATCAGAAACAATCGTGCCAGTTAGTCTTCCTCATAACTCTGGACAATTGCATCGGTGTGTACTTATTGAAAGGTGAGATAATAACCTTTCATGGAACAAGAAAGACTTCGAAGAAAGTTTGTTAGTGTGGCTACATAATCTAGTTCGAAGTAAAGGGAGATCTCCAAAGCTACAAGCCAAATGGGATGGACCATACCGAGTGGTGACGAAAATCAATGATGTCACCTACTGCATAGAGAAGTGTCCTAGAGGCGCCCCAAAGATAGTTCATCTGAATTGATTGGCGCCATATTATGGGACCGATTATGCTCGAGACGAGCGTGTCTTAGGAGGAGGCAGTGTTGCGCCATAGGTTTAAATGGTTCGATTGTTCCAGAATTGTTTGGAATGTGGAGGACAACGCCATCTAGTATCAAATAAAGTAAAACTATTGAGATTGTGCTGAATAATTCTGATACTTACAGCGCTAGATGGCGCTGCAAGTAACGCTTAAAATAGTTAACCGGTACTGGAATATTCTTATTCTGTATTAATAATGATGTATTCTTATTAGTCTGTAACGGACTATCGAATACTAGGGATCATTCTAGTAAATTCAATAGATCTCGATTGTTATAGTGAGTGTTAGTAAATACAGTGCAATAAAAGTAATTAACAGACAACTTTTATTTATTATATGCCCCGCTCGTAACAATAATAAAATATAGTCACAATAAGAATGACTATGTAGGCACTTGAAAGATTCTTAATATAACTTACTTAAGTACTAAAGATAAATGAAAAAATATATGGAATTTAAAAAAAAAACGATAATGACATACTTAAGACTGAAAATTTTGCTAATACAATAGTGATAATCACGTTCAATTTCAATTCCGTTACAGTTTGAATTAACGTAGTGGCAGTTATTTTGATAATATTAGTGTAAAAATAGTTAGTACAATGTTTTGTTAATTTGGAATTTCAAATTAACAAAACATTGGACTATCGCATGCACCTAATTAAGAGTACCTACTGTGTGATAAAAACTAAATAACAGTAGGTATTTTATCCTCAAATAGGCTGCCAGATATTCATAACAAGTCAATACACATGGCGTCTATATTAAACCGCGTTGGTCCCGTACAAAAAGATACATAATTTAGCTGAATATTTTGAATGGGAAATCCCTAGTCATGACTGCCTTTAAGTAAAAAAAGTTAAAATATAAGAAAGTTTATATAAAGTTTTATAATATAATTTAAAATTTATAAACGTCGAATGAAATCTATTTTTTGAATTTTTTTCGGGCGGGTTTTTAATCTGTATGTATTTTCATTGTTAAGAATTACAACCTACCATCAACCAGCTGTATCTATACGGGAATGATAGTTCTTCGAAGTGGAAAATTCCAAGTTTTGGAAATTCATTGACAACAATTTGAAAATTCAAAGTTGTTGAAATCGGTTTAGCGGTATAGGCGTGAAAGCGTAACAAACAAACTCACATTCCTATTTACAATATTAGTTAGGATAGTAAACCTTAATAGTTCTATGTACATTACTTATTTACATAATTTTCAACTTTTGAGCACATATTGTTTAAACATTTTAGCTTTCTGCATTTCTTCTACCTATAAACTTTAACTGTGGTAATTCAAACTCCTCTCTAAGTGTAATTTATGTAAAAAGTTATAGGTACATGTAAATATGGGTTTACTTATTATAATTTTACTTGTTTTATTTGTATGATAAGACTGCACAGGACTGAACTATTACTGAACCCTAATTTGAACAACTGGCTCGGTCCGAGAATATAAATAACACAATCACATTTTAATTGTTGAACAGAACAGTTTGCAGTACCAGGACAAGATGAAGCGATATTCAACATTACTCATTTTGATTATGTCAATCATAGTCAAAGGAAAACTGACTACCACCGTAAACCCGCCGCATTGTACACAAGTGACGAAAAGTAAGTTCTAACTAATTCGTTTTAATATGTATAATTATTAAGTGCAATACGCTCGTCAAATGACTATTAAGTATAACTTTTGTTAAAAACTGTCCGTTTGGATTAAAGAGCCACTTTTCATATCTTAAGGAAATTAATATTATTATTGGGTAGTAAATTAAAACAATTGTAGCTTCCATCCTCGATTTTGTAATATAATACTTTTAAAGTTATATAAACATAAAGGTGGCTAAATCTAAATGTTTGGATTGAGGAGCCACATCAGAACTAGGAACATAATGGCTAATAATATGTACATATATTTATCATAATTTTGTATAATTTTGTAGTATTTAAGAGTAGTTAGTAGACAAAATCTGAGCTCGATAATGTTAAAATTAAAAAAATACCATACATTCTATATGTGGCTCCTCAGACCTAGATGTGACTATCATTTTTCAAAGAAGCAGTCTTTCAATTGATTCGCAATTACTTCATCATTTAGTAGTAAGTATGTTAAATTTGTAGTGTAAAGAGTCATTAATTAAAAATGAGTGAATTGGAAGATATGGCACATTTAAACCTGCTCCTTGTTAAGATGCTTCGGTAAATAGATTTAACTCTAATATACTTATACTTGTGATGAAATTTGGAACATAAAACATCTTTATTTTGTATAAATTTATACTAAATGTACGTATAATCCTGTCATAAAAAAGTACAGTATCTACGAAGTTATTAGCTATTCTTTAACTTCCTAACACAAAAAAAATTGTAGGGTGTCCATGAATAACTTATATAAAAGGTATTTTTTTCGTTCTGTTTCATACACAAATCTATTTTATTTTATCTAATTATTTGGAGGTAACTGCAAATTAATATAGTTACCTACCTACCCTCACTAATATTTATTTATACACCACGACACAAGAGTCAGTATCTCAACACTGATAAATAGTTATTACAGATGTAGTGAATTATTACTTTGATATTTAATTATTCTTATCGATACAAAACGCGGCAATAGGTGTTATAGAATTTATCCATGCAATAAGCGACGCTGTAACAACTGTACATGTCACTACCCAACAAAGGATCAGATGTTTTGTTACGATGACTATGATTCTCAATGTAAAATTCGTGAAAGCACCGACCAACCAATATAATTTTATTGTATAACTTATGTCTAAATTAATTAATAAAAACTTCTCACTGAAGTATTTCCGTACATACCTATATTTCGATACTTGTTGATTTGTTGAAAATTACATTTCAAAAACTTGTAATTTCAGATTTTGACATGGTCTCATAGCGAATTCATAAGGAATATCAAAAAGTAATTTATTTTTCAAATACCAAATATATATGCAACGTTGATCTGTAACATATTTATTTAGTAGACATTTATACTAAATGTTAGTGTCTCTGGTTTTTGTTTCTGTTGTGATCTCAGGTAGGTACCAGTCTATTATTTATTATGCAGAACGTCAGGATTGAGAAGCAAAATAAAAGGCGTTTATTTACTAAATCCACCCAGTTTAACTACTTTCGCCTGATGCTAAAAATTCAAACACACTTGCTACTAAATGTTTTTGGAGTGGAATATAAATTTTGACCTATTACTTTCATGGCAATTCACGCTCTTAAATATAGATTGAGGAGCCACATTTAAAGTATTGTATATTCTTGAATATCAATAGTACTGGATTCAGATGTTTAGTAGGTACTATACACAATTACTACTAAATGATACCAAATTTTCAAAAAGATCAGTTAAATACTTTTCGTGTTTCAGGTGGCTCCTCAATTCAGATGTTTGGATTGAGGAGCCACTTTTACATATGGATATAACTTTGGACATATCTGACTACAAATTTCAGGATTTGTCCTACAAAATTATTTGCTAACCTACTAAATAAGGGGTGAGTTTCCGTTTAAAATCTAAAGTGGCCCTTCAATCCATATGGACATAAAAAAAATACATAAAAGAAGTTTGTTGTGAAGTAAGTAGCCTGTTTTCAATATTAGGCGACTATCTAGTCGCCTAGATGTTTTGATATGCATCTGCATATCAAAACATCTTATAATAAAAATGCAACAAGATCTATTTAACATTAATAATATGAGCGCTTTAGTCCAGTATGTACACATACATTTTGTGTACTATTGCTATTTTCGTTATGAAAATGGTGTCAAGAAGGCGAATCTTTATTCCATTTATTTATTAAACAAAGATGTTTATCTTTAATACGGCAACTGTTAGGGACCTAGATAGTTACTATTACTAGATAGAAACTAAATAAGATTGACACAAACAGATGTAATATCTAAATATCACCACTTTTTGTGGCAAAAACTTTTTTGCCGAAAATTTAAATGAATTGACTATAAAAAACTAAAAATACATAAAAATATTTTTCAGGTACCGACTATCAGGCTAAGTATAATTACGACTACCCGGTAGTTTATATTCCTCCCGGCCAGCGCGAAGCCTTTCAACGCGTAAGTAAAATTCATAAACACAATGCAACAGATAAAAATAAATCTAAATAATTGAAATTCGGTCAATCATCTACCCAGTAGGTAAAAAGTATGTGAAAAAAAAATAGACAGAAAATAAGTATGTAAAGAAGGTATAGTTATTCTTTAACCAATCGTGTGAAAATAAATATGCACAGCAAGCAGGTAGGTGTGGGTAGGTAGGTTTTTGTCACTTCATTAATTACAATAATTACCTACAAAATGACATCATATTAACTTGTGACCACAGGTACATAACGGACAACGAGTGACATCAGCGTTGAGTATTTTATAAAGGCCTAACTACAAAGGCAAGACAGGCATAGCCTAGTTGCGAAACTGCAAAAAAAATATAATGGAACCTGATATGATTTATCACAATCACATAAAAAAATTGGCCACTGAAAATGCGCTGATAAATATTCTTCCTGTTTTGCTCTGATAGTCAAATAATCTTTTGCGTGACAAAGCGTACATATGTTATTCCATTTAAATACCTTCTGGCAATAGATTACCCACTATTTACATTTCAGTCGTAGATAAAAATAAATTATTTCAACTAGTATATATGTCTACATTATGAGAAATATGTAGCGAAATTATGAGAAACATTTTAGCGGTAAGGCCGCCATTTGTACATGGTCATTACTTTGATGTGCTCTTGTATGTATTATGTACTAAACTGGTGTACAATAAAGTGTATTCTATATTTTCTTCGCAGATGGATAACCTCATTCTAGTTTAGAAAAAATCCAAATTTTATATTCTATTTTTGTAAATTACCACCTGCTTGAGACGGCAACCGGCTTTGTTCTAGCTACTTTTACCATCCAATTTTGATATTGGCTGTCACCGGCAACGCAACAATGGAAGCACATAAATTAGTCTTTAAAATAAAATAAAAACCCAGATTTCTATTCACTTGAAAGAAACTAGTTATCGATATGTCGTTTTAAATCATAATGACCATAGATAAAACACTATAAGCCAGAAAAATAAAGACATAGGACACTCCGACTTGTATCGAAAACAGAATTTCGCATTCAACTTTGTAGCATCCTTTACCAGCCAGCGCTTATCATGTGTTTTTTTATTTCTAGATTACCTTTTTTTAAATATAACATAAAATTTTCAGTTATTCTGCATCAAACCACCCACAGTGAACTACGAAGGGACAGTAGTATGCGATTGGGTTGCTCCTCCTGAGGTTCAGTTCACATTTGGTGATGAATACATGCACGTCGTACGACAAGATCCTACCGGTAGATACCTCGGTAACGCCGTTATTAAAACTCAGCAAAGGTGCAACCACCGAAATATGTCAATCAGCGAATCATCACAAATTGGCGTCATCCAATTATAATAATCTAATTAAAATATATCCTGAATCAAATAAAAGTATGGCGATAAAAAGGCTTTATCAAAATTAAAAATAATGTAGTCAATTATTGAAAATATTGCCATAATTGGCTACATTTTTTTTCGATAAAATGCCTAACATAAAACCAATTACCTTCAAAACCGCTCTTTGTAAGTGTTAAATTTGTAGTGTAAATTTTATTGCGCGTTAAAAATATTGTTTCATTTTCTTATTTCATCATCATCAAATAAAGGATTACGCACTAACTTCTTTTGTTTATTGCACGCCCTAAATTAGGTACCTACTCTCTACGTTTGAATGTACTGGATTTTATGCATGAGCATTTAGGGCAAAGACAGAGAAAGATTGAATCACATTCTCCCTCAGAAAATATGACTAAACAGGTCACCTGATGGAAAGTGACCACCGACGCCAATGAAAGTCTGCAACTTTGGTGTCACAAGCGCGTTACCAGCCTTTGAGGAAGGAGTACGATCTTTCGTCGTATTGGTCCAGAAATACCGCAGACGATAACTTGTTCTACACATTGGTTGTGCGAGTCAAAAAAATTTAGTAAGAAAGTTTCTGAGTTGATGAAAGAGCCCAAAAGCGTTGTGTTAAAATTCGGGTAGGTGTCTTTGATCTTTATCATATACAGATATTCCTATTCTCGAAAAATGCTTGGAGACTATTGTTAGCATTACTGTCAATTTCTTCAACATTCCAAATTATTTATTTGAATAATGATGCATACCTAATAATTACTGTCTCGCTTTAAAAAAAAGTAAATATACCTAAAGTAGGTAATTAAATTAATGTCTCCAAAATATTTTACCGGATAAGGCGTTGCTTTCAGTTAACAATGGGACGAACTAAAATGGCGCGTGCTCTGATCAGTTGATTTATGGCGGCCGACTTGTGAACACGCAAAATGTTTACTGGAATTAAAAGTAATTTAAGCAAGAAGTTCTTATTTCACGGTTTCTTACACTCTAGAATAGTTAGTGATTCTTCTACTAGTATTACATATAATTTCCTCTTTTCCTTATCAATAATATCTAATTATAAGACCAAAATCAAGACACTATATCAAGCACACAATGAAATGCCGCTTCATCATCCTGTTAAATTTCATCATTTTTACGCACGACGGCACGGAGAAGGTACTCGTATATGCGTTTAAGGTGAGAGATGTTTGTTTGTATGTGCAAACCAATGTTGCCAGCTAGCTATCTCCAACATAATACTCGTAGTCCGATTTTAATGCGGTTTTCAGTAATTCATGGTTGATTGGTTCTTAAATGGGTGTTACGGTTCTTAGTTGATTTGACTGGTTCTTAGATGGGTGTTACGGTTGTAACTCACTAGGGAGCGCTGCGTTGAACCTTGTTTGTGCAAAACATTGTTGCAATTATCCCAAAAAGTACTTGTCCGATTTTGATACGGTTTTGAGTAATGGGTTCGTGGTTGATTAGTGATGGTTCTTAGATAGGTGTTACGGCGGTCACCTATTGGGGGGCACTGCAGTAAAAATTTTCCTTTCATAAAAATGAGTTATTGCTCTTTTTTGGTGAGTTTGATCGTCCTGCCAGTTTGAAACTTTACAGTTATATATGGTTTACAGGTCAATACTATAAATTGGCAACTTAAAGCTGATCTGATGAGGAAGCCAAGAGGTGGGTACTTTAACTCTTCAATGGCTACTAGCAAACCTAAACTGATTTTTACAAGTCCCTTTATTATGCATGGTGGCGAGGGTCTGATGATGGAGCCAAAAGAAATATGGTGCAACTCCTTAATGGTTACTGGTAAAACCTTTGAGTTTGGTTCATTTGATTTATAATGACAAAGCCGTCCAATTAGCCAGGAGGTTACACTCCTTTTATATTAGTTACTACATATTTTAAAAAAACTATAGAAAGCGATAGGTGAGTATTTCTGTAGAGAGTAGTGACGTAATAATAATCTCTCCGAGCCGATTTCGGCTGCAGCGACTGCTGAACAGGCTCAGCAGATGGCGTCTCGGTGGCCCGCGCGGTGGTGTGCTCGCATATTGCTATTGTAGCCAATTTTGGCCTTAAAAGTTCTAGAGTATTCGGACAAGTGAGAACGCCGCCACTATAGTGGTAAATTAAAGCAGTTGGTGGTCTGGCTTTTAGCTCGTGTCTTTTTGCGTCGAGCTCGTCTTTACGTGAGCTTTTAAAGGCGTCGATCTTCTGCCTTACGAGACGTCTCCATGCCGAGCGGTTCGCCGCAGATGACTCCCACGATAAAGGGTCAATACCGCAGCTTTTCATATGCCTTTTAAGCACATCTTTGTATCGCAAGAGCTGTCCGCCATGCTTGCCCTTACCCTCTTGAAACTCGCTATAAAAGATGCACTTGGCGATCCGTTCATTTGGCATACGGAACACGTGACCACACCAGCGTAATTGACGTCGCATTATATATGCTTCAATACCGCAGATCTTAGCACGTCGAAGAACTTCAGTGTTTCTGATGCGGTCCGTCCAGTGGATGTTCATGATATCCCGCAGACATCGAAGATGAAATTGGTCTAAAGTCTTTATGTGTCTGCGGTAAAGGCACCAAGTCTCTGGGCCATATAACAGGCTTGGTAGGACAATAGCTCTGTAAACTGCGATGTTTGTAGCCAGTTTTAGATGGTGCGAACGAAAAACCTTAGTGCTAAGTTTACCGAAAGAGGCTGAGGCAGCACCGATTCTGCAGTTTATTTCGGCATCAAGGTCGCACTCTGATGTTATTGTGCTTCCAAGGTACTTGTACTTCTCTACGCGCTTCAGGACATCTTGACCGAGACAGATTTTCAGAGGTTTATCTGTTGAGACACCTGTTGTCATGACTTCTGTCTTACTGAGATTTATCTTAAGGCCGAACGTGGTGCACGCTTCATCAAGGCCAGTCATCAGCTGTTGCAGAAAAGTCGGGGAATCGGCTAAAAAGCATAGGTCATCCGCGTACATAATCTAGGTTATCATTTTGTACGAAACCTTGGTGCGGGCTTTCAACCTAGCCAGATTGAAAAACGTTTCATCAGTTCGGAAGCGAATGCGGACGCCCGTAGGTACTTTTTGTAACGTCTCGTTCACTACAGCTTTTTTTTTTTTTTTTTTTTATTGGGACTAGTCCCACCCACACGCCCACCACTGTAACTCCTGTACACCAGGGTCCACAGCAGTGACCCACTAACACACCGAGTTATGACACTCGGGAAGTCCCAGGAAGAAATTAAACTGTCTTGGAACCCGCAACGAAATTAATCAGAAGAAAATTGGAGGAGTTGGAAATACAGTAAAACCACTTCCCTCCTTAGCAAAGCGGGAGACAAAATGAAGTAAAATAGGCATACACTCTTTTAAACAGGGAAGCACCACGGCCACAAAATATTACGGGTCCTACATGAGCTATATTGGATTTCTATAATATGTATGGCAGAATCACCTAAACGCACGGAAATTCACCCTAGTTAACACAAGATCCCCATAGTATACGGCCCCAGATGTCACCTGCAAGCTATTCAGCATTATATTAGGTTCATTGTACCAAATTTGTATATTTTACTTATAATTATTTTGACATAAGACAAATATCGAGTACTTCTCATGCGTCCTGAGTCTCGAGAAATCGAGGATCAGACATCCCAGCTCCGCCAAGACCTCGTGGGGGAGTGGAAGGAATGACTTAGGCCACCGAGCGCCGGGCACGCCGTTATCGCGGCGGTAAGACCCGTTATGGAGTATTAGCTCGAGAGGTATCACGGAACCCTCTCCTACCGGCTGACGTAGGTGACGACCAGCAAAGGATGCTTCGGATTACCTGTATCTGATCCGCAAGGAGCCAACCCCTGAGTGCCACCACTGACAGGCCCGAGACGGGTCAGGTACCGCAGACGACTCAGGCGCTGGAGGTCGCAGAACGACCTCCGTCCTTCATAAGCGCAGGCCTGAGGGTGAAAGGTGAGGCCATCTGTCACTCTAGCAGAAGCAGGCCGGGGTGGGTGGCAGCGCGACGCGCTACGGAGCGCGCACGCCCTTCGGGGGCAGGAAGGGAACACAGGAGGGGGTCATCTATAAGCCAGGAGTCAGGTTACATACAATATATGGAACCTGGCTCCTCAGATTTTTTACTTACAATATTCCTCCCCGGCTACTGGTACCTAGAGACAGCGTGCGGTTTTGGTCAGTTCGAGTCCAACATAATCATCATCGGACTCGGGTGTGGTCACGGTGGGTGGTATCCAAGGGAAGTTCCGCACAAGAAAAAAAAGTTTACAAACAATATGTATTTTAACCGACTTCACAAAAGGAGAAGGTTCAATGATAAACTGTATGTATTTTTTTAAATAAAACAGACAGAGAAATGTACTACATTAATAAAACTGTGTTTAAACGTATTGCCTACTTGTAGTTTTTGGGGAACACTGTCAATGAGGAACTTAGATCTTATTATTACATTGTCTATACATATGTGTGTTAAGCATAGGTACATCTTACAAATGGTGCATCTTACAAAAGAATTAAAACATGCATTAATAAAACTTGAAATCAATTTCATATCGCTAAATTCTAAACATTACAAAATGAAATAAGTGACAAAGGTTAAGTGGTTCTAATCATTCAAATTCATTATTAAGTTTTTGATTAGAATACAAAGAAATAATACCTAATTGATTATAACATGACGCGAAGTAAATCATATAACAATTTATAGTTACTGCGACAAAATTTAATCAGTTACTTAATTGATTTATTTCCTTTTTTAGAGATCTGTAGTCCTAACAAGGAACCCTTGGGGTGCGTTGCCATCCGCTGACTCGGACTTAGGCGGAGTGGAGCGGAGCGGCGGATGAGAATGCCGCTGAGAAGAAGGAGACTATTAGAGCTATAACTATTA